TATTAATGTACACACCCACATTAAATTATGTTGTTTTTTATTCTGCTTTTAGTAGGTTAATTACTGTGACAACACAAGAATTCTGTTACGACTTCTAATGTCGTAACAAGTAGTCTGTCTCAACAGAACTAGTGGATTTTCATAGGCACAAAAATCAACAAAATTCACTACGAATCTAATCGGATTGGAATAAGTTCTTTCGGGATTTATTTTCTTGAAAATGTAAAATCCATTTAAAAAAATCGGTAATCGGAATGAAAAACTTCGTTCCAAATTCGGAATTTTTTGAATTGGAATCGGCGAAAATTGGAAAATTCCAAATTTTTGTCGCTTAAATATAAAATATATAATAATATTACAATATAAGGGTAACTTTCGAAAAAAATCGAATTTTTCAGAATTATTTTTGAAAATTGCAACCGGATCGGAATTCGAAATTTCATACATATTTCGTTCCCGATCCAAACAAATTCAGGATTGAATTTTTGAAGTACATAATGAAAGATATTGTTCGGATCATAATTGGTGGAAATCGAAAATTTTCTTCTAATTTACACCCCTAAATGTGTACACATGAAATATTTCTAAAATTTAATATTAGATTACTAATTCACATTATTTTGTAGCTCTAAAATTTTTTTCTTTCTTCACAATGCTCAATAGAACGATAATTAGTGCTAGTGGTAGTGGTGCTTGATGCATATAAACCTGCAAACAATTAATTCAAAATTATTTAGGTAATTAACCAATTGGATTAAGTCAAAGCATACCAAGTAACAGTTGAAAATTAGATACATTCTAGAGTGATTAACAACTAATTCGTATGAATACAATAAACAATTCACAACAATTAAGGTTGATGGATATGTTCTTTTGCTTTTATACTACTACTTGATTGAAAGTGTGACATTGTAGTGGCATAAACTCGAATCAAGTATTTTCTCCAACAACAACAACAACAACAAGAAGAAGAAGAAGAAGAAGAAGAAGAAGAAGAAGAAGAAGAAGAAGAAGAAGAAGAAGAAGAAGAAGAAGAATAATAATAATAATAATAATAATAGTAATAATAATAATAATAATAATAATGATAATAATAACAATAATAACAAT